GAAGATGAGAAGATGCATAGTATGCTTTCAGTATCGCAGGCTAAGCGACAAAATAAGCAGCCAACCACTTGTACAACATAGGATTAACACATGATTTTCTGAAGTAGAAGATAGTTCGGAAGCTAGAACTGGCTACAGGGAGTCGCACCGGGAGCTGTTATACAAGGGGATGCGCATTAGAATTGAGATGAGTTCGCTGAATGATTCGTATTGTATATCCTTGGTTACTTGAAAGCTCGCCAGAGTCCCATCCACACCAGAGCAAGCGAAATGGATGTGATTCCAAACTTGCGACTTCTCATACCGAATGGTGACTTGCTCCGTAGGATCAAATCCTTTTGCTTATCAAGCTGTGACATTCCGGAAAAGTAGCTGTAAGCTCCAAGTCCAAAGAATGCGCCGCTTCCTATCGCCATGTTAGGTTATTCTGAGTCGTAAGAGATCGCAATAGCCAAATTCTGAAAACTAACCAACGACTTTGCAAGGCAAACAATCATCTCCTCTGTCTTGGCGCAGGATATTTTCAAGCTTCTCTGGCTTCTCAAGAGCCTGGACTGTCGGTATTTTGTCGGACATTTTGGGCGTTTTCGTACAAACTGGCGCTTGAATTAATCACAACTACAGAGGTTGAGGCCGGCCGCGTGATACCAAACTTTGATTGGGCAGGTTGGCAGATGAACTTCGGGCTATTTGCTGAGTCATCCTTGTCTAGGGTCTTGAGTTTTAGTGTGAGTTTCGTCATTGCTTGGACTATCGTTGGCGCAAAGCGAAGCTACCTACTTGCCTAACGCACTGAGAGGGAGGTCATCACCATGAACGGAGTTATTGAGGCACTTCACATTTACGATGACAACCGGTACGTCTCGTAGAAGCGTTTGAACGACAAGGCACCTTAATCATCTAACATTTTGCCGCAGAAACCCTATTCTATCACATACCTACGCAGGGAGGCCGTTGTCGGCAACTCATCTCCTGCCCCTCTACCTAGAACACCCTCTACCGCGACCGAACCTGATCTACCTCCCCAATACGAGTCCCCCGACGCTCGTCTTCAGTCTGACGCATGCGAACCTCTTATTCCTTGCTACATCGTCGACCGAAATCGAACCGTTGCTAGTCTTTGAGTTCCTACACCGTATAATAGATGCATTCGAGGACTTTCTTGGCGCGCCACTTCTGGCCGTCAAGATCGAGAATAATTACGACATAGTTGCACAGCTCTTAACAGAGATGTGTGACGCAGGTACGATAAGCACAACAGAACCGAACGCCCTACGTGAAGTAGTAGAGCAAGAAGGCTGGGTTGGAAAACTACTGGGAAGTATCAATCTTCCAGGGTTAGTGAACCGTTGAGCCCTCTAGAAAATTGATATCTGAGCTAACCTGTGGCCAGAAAAGCTCCTCTGGGCGCCAATTTTTCGAATTCAAGCACACCGTCCATCCTACCCTCGAACTCAACAGCTTTACCGTGGAGGCGAGCCAACGTACGACACACGTCCAATGAGATGTACGCAGATATCGTCGAAACTTTGTCAGTAACGCTTGCTCCATCAGGAAGACCTCTCGCTGCCTTTGCCAATGGAACGATCGCATTCACCTCAAAGGTATCAGGCGTTCCTGATATTACGCTTAACATCACTAGCCCATCAGGAAAACACAACCTCGGGGGCATCATGGAACTACCAGTGTTCCACCCGTGCGTGCGGCTCAACCGGTGGAAAGAGAGACCAGGTGAACTCAGCTTCATTCCACCTGATGGACGATTTATCCTGGCTGGATATGAAGTTGATTTACTACCCTTTTCAAGTGGGAAGAGCGGAAGTCTTAGCTCCAACAACCTCAAGTTACCGATTAATATGGAAGTGAAAACAGGTTTAGGTGCAACAGGGTCTGATTTCGAAGTCCGATTACAGGTCAACAAGATTCTTGGAGCACCTTCGCCAGCATCATCAGGACTGGGAAGAGGCGGCAGTGGAGGCCGTTTAGGCGGACCTCATCCTGGCTCGCCAGGAGCGCCTTTGATGGACGACCTCACTGTGACAGTCCCACTCCCGGCAGATGTCAGGAACCTATCTGAGATCCGGCCTAGCAAGGGCGACGCCAGCTTTAATCCAGGAGAGAAGGTCTTGGAATGGTACATTCCCGCAAAGGAGCTCTCAGTCGGAACAAGCTACTTTGGACTCAGGGGTACTGTGGTGGGACCGCTGGCAGAGGAGGGCGATGGGGGTTTCGATCCTAACGGATTTGGATTTGGAACTGACTACACATTCGACGGGCCGTATCAGAGCGTCCCTGTTGCCAAGGCGGCGCAGAACCCGGAGAGCACAGGCGACGACAAGGACGCCAAGAAGATCGCACAGAACAAAATCCTGATGCCCACATCGGCCTCAGTAAGCTTCTCGGTCAAGGGATGGTTGGCCAGTGGTCTGAAGGTCGAGAGTATTCAGCTCGACACACGCAAGAGTAAGGGACTGGGAGATAGTGTCAAGCCATACAAGGGTGTCAAATACTTGACAATCAGCAAGGGAGGTGTGGAGATACGATGCTAATTAAGGAGACAAGACGAGATGGGGGAACACAAACATAAACATAGACTCGAGATGCTGTGCTGAGCCAGGTGTCTTGTTAGCCGTACTCGCGGGCCAATAGGAGAAGATGTAGAAGTCATGACAAAAGCAAAAAGAACGTACCTGTCCTGTCGTACTTCTACATGTAATGCCATTGCTCGTTGCCGCGGGAGTGAAAGGGAAATTTAGGAAGTATCACCTCGGAGAGCCTCCCAAGGAGCGACGGAGCTCCGAAGCCGCATGAGGTCGGGGCATCGGCTCTAAGTGTGGGGGCAGTCCCGGAACCCCAAATCACGCAACGGATAATGCGATCGCGATATGATTGGATGGACGAAGGGGAAACCCGTCCCGATGGTTTTCATGACAATTCAAGAACTCCCCCAATTCCGAGGAATCAGTACGTACCCTGTTCCACTAGCATTACCCCGACGTCACGCAAACTCCCGAACCCCAGACCTAGACCGAGTAGACTAGGAGGCCCAAGGCCTGGGGCCCCCAAAGGGTGATCAGTCTCGTGTGTTTGGTCTGGGACCTGGGACTGATTTCTTATTTCGTTGACTGCAAGTAGGGATGCTCTTTCTCCTCCTGTAACCCTTTTGCGTGCCGCTTGCCTACGCATTTCTCCTCAGAATGAGATCTTCACTTTGTCCATCCTGACCTCTATCTTCTGCCCCGCCGCTCAGACGGCAATGGACAAGCTCGCGATGTCCACGATGCGGTGCTGTCGCACTTACACAATAGCTAATCATATTCGCTCTCCTGTTTCCTCACAAAGCTCAAGTCGACCGTCATTGCAGGCTTTGCAGCAGCAGCAACAACCAAAGCGTCAACTGCCACAACAAAGATGGCGTTCTACACATCGCGGCGGCACCAGAACAGCCCTATTCTTCCCCGGCCAGGGCGTTCAGCGGGTTGGCATGCTGAATCCATGGCTCGAGGCTTTCCCTTCGACGGCGTCGCAGCTACGAGACGAGATCGACGAACACATGGGTTACAAGCTCTCCGACATCATTCAGAACGGGCCATCAAAGCTTCTCACTGAGACACCCAATGCGCAACCGGCCATCATGGCTACGTCCATCTTCATCCTGCGTATCCTCGAACGCGAATTCAACTTTAGAGTCACCGACCACTTCGATGTGACACTGGGACACTCACTAGGTGAGTTTGCTGCTGTCGTCGCGGGCGGCTATATCTCCTTCCAGGACAGTTTGCACCTCGTTCGTAAACGGGCAGAGGCCATGTCGGACGCCACGAAACATGCAATTGAAAAGTATGGTGGCGAGTATGGCATGGTGGCAGTTATATCCCACCCAGAACACATGGACAGCCTGATCCAGGCCATTCGAGAGTTTGTCGGCATCTCAGCTGAAGACCAGGCCGACCTGCCACCGATTGAACAAGTCTTGATAGCCAACATAAACAGCAAGAATCAGATTGTACTGAGTGGAAATATTGAGCGTATAAAGACGCTTATCGCCCACGTCCGTCAATTCCTTGGCTACGATCCGCGCGCCGTCCGTCTCAAAGCCGACAGCCCCTTCCACAGTCCCATCATGCAACCAGCAGTCACCGTAATGCGCCAGCTCCTAGAAGAACCCAGCAGGGTAGAGGGCCGCGAAAAGGAGGACGTTGTGACATTCCCAGGCAAATTGCCCATCGTGAGCAACGTGTCAGCGCGGCCAGTCTGCTGTAAGAAGGAGCTCAAGGATTTGCTGGCCCGCGGCTGTCTGGATACAGTTCGCTGGTGGGACAGCATCAAATACCTAGATCAAGAGGCGCGCATACGACGATGGGTCGGCGTCGGACCTGGAAAGGTCGGCCGCAATCTTGTCGGAAAAGAGGTTGGCATGCGCGGTAAGGACCTTGTGAAGGGAGGGGGCGTATGGGCTATTACAGATCCATCTGAGGTTGAGGAGGTTCTGAGAGGGCTTGAAGATACGGCGAATCTCATGGAAGATGATGAGTATTCGGAGTAAAAGCACGAGCTTGGCTGTACCAGGGATATATACAAGCCTTGAGTGAGTCGTCACATGGTTCCTTATTGGGAACTATTCACCACCTATCATGAATTCGGGGTGTATGTTAATAGGGTGGGATATGCTGCATCAAGCAAGCGATTATGAAATTTCACGATTATTGAATTGTTTTGACAGCATAAACATATGGATACCAAGCAGTTCTGTATGCGTACTTGAAGACTTTGTGCAGCTTACCCATGCCGTGAATAATGTATATGTAGGGATAATGGTTTCTCAGTTGATGGCCGGTTTCAGACAATCGAACTAAAGCGAGACATTCCAGCCTCCAGCCGCCTCATCATGCTTCCAGCTTGGGACTATAACTATGATAGACATTTCCAGTATTGCGATCAGAAATGGATCTCATATTTCCTACAATCTGAATGTTCATTTCCCTTGCAGACTGTTCATTATGCTGACTTTGGAGACTGGTGGGGATTACAAGTTAAGGCTGCCCGCCGGCTCCAAGCGAGCATGGAGGCTCCCACTAAGCCGAGCTTCCTCTTTCAACCTTCATCTTCGCCAACAAGCTGTAATAACCATGTCCACCGCAATACCTTCAATCGCCTGTCTAGGCGTTATCGGCCGAAATGTCAGTATAAAACGCCAAAATGCTATGATTCTCACTGAACATCCGCTGACGCGCCATGGCTACACACAGAACAATCCCCTCCATATCTCCATCTTCCCCTCGCTCGATCCAGTAACAAATACGTTCGCTCCGATTCGCACACCTCTCCAGTTCTCCCTCCTGCTCTCTTCCACCATCGATGTCTTTGATCTGCGCGCCAAGACCAACGCAGTCTCAGGGGTTGGCCTCTCGGGAGACTTTGGGCTTCTCCACGCTGTGGATGACCGCCTTGCCGCCTACGGCTTCGAGACCAACACAGGCGTTCGAATGGTCTGTCTTGTCGATATGCGCGGTCGGCGTGTCGATGGTAATGCCCCGGTAGCTGCAAGTCGGGGCGCTGCTGCAGGCCTACGCGATGCTGAGCTTAAGCCCGTGTTTCGGGCCATGCAGCATGCATATGTCAAGTTGTTACAGAACCCATTTTATGACCCGGATGAGCATGCTCCCCTAGGCGGGAGAGGGGGCAAGAAGATCACCAGTCGCAAGTTTGCTGATGATATAAAGAGGATAGGGGAGGGCTGGACCCCAGGCGTGACAAACCTCTAAGCTGAGCTCGGGTTGGGTAGTGTATGAGTAGACCAAGCAAGATACAGGTGCATGGCGTTTTGGAGTCTGGCATAACGGTATATCCGGTCATAGACTACCTAGATATTGCTCTCGTATGAGTAACTGATTTTCACGGAATGGGTTATGTCTGCTTGTTTTCAAGTAACTGTATGCACTATACGCTTGCTTCTCTGTTATTCAGCTGGGTGGTGGTGCTCTACGCTCTCCTATCGGAGTTCCTGAGATCCTCGACCCTCCATTTTGATAACCCAGCCATCTCATCAACCTCCAAACTTTGGCCCATGCCTTCATTCTCGCTCAGTCGCTTAGCGCCGATCTTATGTTCAAAGCGCTGTGAGACTTGACCTCCCTCCCAGTGCCGAGCCTCGATAGGCAGCGGTTGCCACCAATCTCCTGTCCTGGCATGCCACTGTGCACTGCACAGTTCCCATAGCCGAGAGGTTGCTCGCTTATACGCGAAACGCTCATCCTCTCCGGTAAAAGCACTGGTGTTTGCAAAATCAACCGCCTTTTTTTGTAATCCAAAATCAGAGTCTTGGTCGGGATCATATGAGGAGGTGCTCGACTTTGTGTCATAATAGGCAACATTCGGTCGGAATGGAGACATTTGATCTTGATAGACTTCGGCAATTGTTTCGGATATGAGGTTGTCTGGCTCATTTGCGCTGTTCGTCTTCTCAATCGCGGGGGTTTTCATCTTTGGGAAGAAGAGAGTATCCGGTGGGTTTCCAGCTCGGATTATCAGTTTGCAGCGAGCTTCGTATAGGGCATCCAAGAGCGTGATGAAACGCCTAGCTTCATTCTTCTTTGCGTGCGTGAGAATGGGAACATTATCAATGATGAAGGTATGGTAAGTAGAGGCCATTGTAATGTAATCAGCTGGGCCGAATGTTTCCACAAGGCTTTCAAAGTCCCATAATACGTAGCCGTTGTAATGTCGAGGTGTGTGTACCTGTCGACCATATACCACTATGATCGATGGCTCCCATGGCAAAGGTTGAGGCCCCGTCCACGCCACAGCCGTCTCGACTCGTTCTCGCCATTTGTCCTGCTCATCTTTGGATAGATAATAGTTGACTGGCTTCTTTTCGCCAGACTCAGACTTGTCCTGAGTATGCACTTCCTGCATGCCGGCTTCACCTTCGACAGCATCTCCGGTCACAGCTGGCGGGCTGATCGTTTCCTCCTTTCTTCGCCAATCTCTAGCTCCTTCTATTTGCCAAAAGTCGCATCTAGCCTTTAAAACTTCAAGGAAGTTTGCGAAGTCGCTGGTAGATCCATATAGCTCCCCTCGGGCCCGAACTGCACTGCCAAAGAACTTGCGAATCAGCCCCCTTGTCGGTGCGGGCGTGTAATCAACTCCCATGGCATTTTGAAGCTCCTCCGGCATACGATTAGAAGATGCGATAAGAACACCGCCAAGCTGAAAGAATGAGATGAAAAGATGACTGAGAATCTTGCTGGCTGCTTTATCAGGCAATTGAAATTCATCAAGAAAGAGGATGGGGGATTCGTCGACCAGCTTTTTGGCCATCCATAATATGGAGTAGTCTGTTTCGCCTTCACTGGCTCTGGAAGTTGTCTTTCGATGCTGCTCGAGTTGTGAAATAGTGTACAGCATAAATGTATTGAAGTGCCACCTCCTCTTCCGCTCAGTTGGTAGGCCCTCAGCGAGTAAGTCAATGAGCATTGACTTTCCAGTACCAACTTCTCCTGACAAGAATAATCCTCGAGGTGAATCTATCTCGATGGCAGACTCATGGTTTGTGAGTGTCCGTGTCAAAGCGAGACTCTCTTTTCCTTCGGGTGTTGAGAGGAGGTGCCTGAATAATGGGTTCCGCCATATTGAGTGATTCCGTAACGCAAGGATATTTTGACTATCGTCTTTTGCTTCTTCCTTGGGCTTTGCCTCTGTCAGGCGGGCTACTTGACTCAGGCGCTGGCGATACTCTGCCTGGGGGGAGTAGTCTTTGATTCGGGTATATACCTTGTGTAAGTGCCGTGCGAGCCTATGCTGAGATGGGTCAGGGGCGTAGAGACCAGCAGCAACATGAGCCTGATACTTGACGAGTGGATCAGTTATAACTACCGCCGTGGAAAACCGTCTCATTTTCAGGTTCTTATCAGCCCGTCACCATGAACGTTGAATGATGAGCTAATAAGTAGATGGATCTAGCGGGTTCGGCACAGAGCAGGCATTTAACAGGATCTTTGCTGGCCACGTGGTTTCGCTGGAGATCAAGGCTTCAAGATGGTGGATGTGGACGTTGGTAGTAGTATAATCTTTCGGATTATATCTAGCAACTGTACATTGGAGTGAAGACGAAACCGTTGGACGTCATGCCATGTGGCGATTGTTGAATTTCACGATCATCTCTTCGACTTGGCCATTATCAGATCGGAAAAGCCATGTGCATCATCGACTTAAATTTAAGTGTCTTACCCTAGAGGTATGGAGGACTGTATATCACTTACAATTCCACAAAGCTCCAAGTATACCCTACACCAATAAAATGAGACCCTAACGGTATACTACAATCTTCCATCAAAGAATCCCACCACAAACAACTTCATGAAGGAGAAAATCATTGCGAACCCTACCTATGACCTGCCTGACACCCGACATACCTGCCCTTAGGGGATGCGAGAAAACTGGGAAGATTAATCTTAATGGCAGAAAGACTGAGCTAATCTACCTACCCATGTATATATTATAAACTGCAGGAAACTCTTTAGTAAGCCCATTTTTGGCATTGCCTGCCAAGGTCTCAAGTTTTCTTGGTCCCTAACTGCTTTTGCAACAATGTGCCCAGCATGTTGCATCCAGGTTCCTTCGCGGGTAGTAAGAGGGTAAGATATTCGTATATTTGCAAGGAAACCACCAGTAAAAATAAAATAAAATAAGAACCTTTGGTGAAATGATCAGATGCATTTGTGACCCGAACAGAAAGAACCAATTGATGATGGTTGTTTGCACCCGTCCCAGGTCGAGTTCGACGGGACCGAATGAATGTATCGAGAGGCCAAGAATACCTGAGCGCAAGGCTTTGTCTCGACCTCAGCTCTGACTAAGGTAAGGTACCACAAGCCAAAAGGTACCTTAAACAGAGGCTCTGCAACATGGAACCTTCTGCATGCGATCTCCAGTGGGGTACATAAGACTAGCGGCTGAACATGAAGGTTCTGATTGGTATTTGTGCGACTGACCAACTGAAGCTTTCAAGGGGCTTCAAGGCAATGCCAGCTCATAGTAGCAGCTCTAGCACACCTCGAGAAAGGCACCGTCCAGTTTTGAGCCAATCATAGCGCGCCAGACTCCGTAGCTAGGTTAACCAGCCAGCTTTTTTGTTGTTCGATTGGCTCCCGGTACACGCTTCGTCACTGCTCTTTACAGGCTTCGACCAGCACATCCCAAGGAAGGCCACGCCAGTTTTCTCTCCATCCATCCCATCCATCACAAAGTCCACCCGCTCACACTCTTCCGTTCACGTCGACGATCCATCACGATCACCCGTCACGTTGACGCCGCAAGATGCCTCTATGACCACGCGGCTGATTCCATCGCCATTTTGACACTACAGGTTTTATTTCGCGACCTCTTTCTTTGTTACAACCATCGATATCGATCCCTTCCGTGTCCAGTTTGCGATTCACCCAAAATGTTTTCTCCATCTGTCGCTCAGGGTGGCCCTGCGACGGCAACTCGTTCACGCCGCCGCCAACGTCCCTTGAGCTCCGAACATGTCGCCCAGCAGCCAAAAGCCAAGAGACAGAGAGTTCCCTTGACAGAGCAGACTTTTGTCAACCCCGATGCCCAGCAGGACATGATCGAGGTAAAGACGGATGGCAAAGTCGCAACTCTACCTGCCAAAAACAAAAACAAAAACATCGAGCCTCCCGACAGCCCCAGCCCAGTGCTGCGCAAGGAACTGAATGTCCGCGCGAAGAAGGCAAAGCATGGTGACCGCGCCGCTAACAAAGGCGACGGAAGTCTTGTTTTGGTAAGAATTGATGTTTTCTATGTTGCGATGATGCTGTTGCATATTAACGGTGAGATTGTCCAGACAAGCACAAACGCATACTGCGTCAGTAAGCTTCCAGCCCTACCTGATAGGATTCGTACAGATTGGTCCGGTAAGTCTGGATACCACAACTTTAGTTCTCGAAAACGTACTCATCCGTATCATCACAGCCTACCAAACTGCCGACATCTTCCCCACAGGCTATGCTCTTTCTCTCACCCAAACACACGCCCTTGTCTGGCCCTACACGTCGACATCGCAATCACCCGAAACTTTTTCCTTCAACCTCCCATCAACGTCCAAACCCAATGATTCCCTTCCTGTGGGATGCCTCGTATCGCCGTCTGCGTCCTCAGCAGAGCCTGGACTGGTTGTGGTCATGGGAGGCAGTGGAAAAGTCGTCTATTGGGAGTCGATTGCGAGCGCGGCTACATTTGTCTTCATGAAGAAGGATCGGACTGGAGTCGAGTACACTATATCGGGAATGCAGACTGGGGAAAAGGTTGTGGCTATCACGAACGCCGAATCCGCCGGATTTATCCTCACCTTCAACTCTGGTCGCCTTGCCTACATGAATGTGCGTGACGGCCAAGGCCGCCCTGCCATTTCTGTACAATTTCTCCGCAATAGCCTATCGCCCTCTACAGGTGGAATCTTTGGCAGCATTCGACATGCTTTTCAACACTTGTCTCTCAAAGGAGATGTTGCAGCTGTCCGCGCGGACCGATCCTCCCGAACAGGCGAGAGAAACATCGTGGCCCTCACCAGCAGAGGCCGACTGCATGCATGGAGAGTCCACCGCGGAGGGCATAACGAGGTGATTGGCGACGCAGACGTGCGTGGAACTATCATTGCCGCCCTCCAGGAGATCGATCCCGCATCTCAGGAATACCCTCATGATTCTTTCGAGGCAGTTGATTTTACTTACGTGCCAAAGGGCTTGGAATCCAAGTACCTTGAGTTGAGTAGGCTCAGCGAGGCCATGGCCACCGACGATTCCTCGGTGCAGCATCTTCTGATACTTGTCAGCCTGACTTTGCGAAGTACGGCTCGCTACACTTTGGTTGAAGCAATCCTGACGCCCCAAGGATGCCAAGTAGGGATGATCCGTCCCATAACTTCATATAGTGCACCATCTTCACCCTCCGATACCGCACGACCACGTCTATATCTTCCTCGCCCTGCCCTGGTTGCTTTCGTCGTCTTCGATCGCGCCACTGTCATCGCATCAATTGCTGTACCACCTCAGTCTCCTGAGTCGCAGCTCCAAACCGACAGTCACATTTTACCTGCCGCTTTCGAAGATGTTGTTGATTTCCGCGAAGACGACGTACATGAAATCATCGGCTCGGGGTTTGAAGAAGCTTCACCAGCCCTTAGCCACGAAGAGCATCGACTTCATCGACCTAGGACAAAGAATCCCGCTGTGGTCCTCATGGTTCGAGGTGCCGGCGCAGTGCGAATCGTGACAACTGACGTGGATAAGTTTGCTAGCGACAAGCCCCCCAAGGTTTCTGCGAAGAGCAAGATCGAACAGGCCGTTTTCTACGGTGTCAAACAAGACAATCCTCTGGTTTTCGACGGACGACAAGAAATCAAATTTTCTAACGAAGAAGTTGCCCATGCCGCACTTGAAGTTAGCCACGAGATCTTAAGCTCAAACACTCCTTTTATTTCCACTCTCCCGGCTTCGCTAGAGGACAATCTCCGCGCTCGGTCGACTGCACTGGAGAGATTGATTGCTCAGCTCAAGATCATGGGGGCAGACCTCGATCGCAAGACACGTTGGAGTCTGCTATATGATGCCGAGAAGATGCATGTGGCTACATTGCTCTGGAAACGACACGAAGCCTTCACTGCATCACGACCAGCGAATGCTAAGAAGAGTCTCATTGGTTACATTGTCGAGTTCATTCATCAAGATGATAAACACAACCCTGTTGCTGAGGTTGGTGAGGTTGATCGAGTTCGATACTGGTTTACTCGGGATGTTTTCCGTCTCGAGATACTTGTAGCTTGGGCGTATCAAGTCATCAAGACGCTCTATAGGGAGCATTTGCTTGACGACGCCAAGCTAACTTCAATGCTCCACGAAGCTATCCAAATCAACACTTGCACGCATGTCGCAGCGCTCGATTTCCGAAAGAACAGCTTAAGCGCTTACGGTCTTGGCTTTGAAGAACTGCGCCTAGGTATTCTTCGCGACGGATACGACGACCTTCCCGAGCCATGGACTGGTTCTCATTTCGTTGCCAACAACATTAAACGTCTGGTCGATCTCGCAGATCAATGGTTGCTTAAGGATCAGGATTCAGGTGAACCGGCCAGGGCTTCAAATCAGCAGGACCATAAGATGAAATCCAAGATTTTCGAAGAAATGCCAACACTCGTCGATGGAATGCTTACTTCAGTTCTGGAATATGCTCGTTGGTCAGCAACGCGCCCTGATCTAAAGACCATGTCGCAGGAATTTGCTAAGCTATACAAGACGAGTTCATTTGAGAAGCCCCTTGCCCTAGCGCGATCAGGCAGGTGGGAGGAGGGAGCCTCTATCGCTGAGAAGCACGAATGCCTCCGTGCTCTCCCTATGATTTTGCTAGATCATATCCAAATGCTCGAAGATCGCCTTGCTGAGCCAGACTTGTCACTTGTTGAAACGCAAACCTTGAAACGACTGAGGGACAACAAAAAAGCCAAATTGGAGAACAGCTTCTCCGTCTACGGCCAGTCATTTGCATTCCCGGCATACGAGTTCCTGCTCCAAAAACACGGAGTTGAAGCTGTCCTGGAATTCGATCTTGACAAATTGGGTTATAAGACCCAGTTTCTGCGTAGCAAGCCTGAACTGGCGCGAATATCGTGGATCAACGATGTGCAGCAGGAGAAAGACGTCGGCCACAGCGCAGACACTCTCGTAACCCTTGCACTTACCAAGGAACAGCAAGTATGGAATAAGAAGATTGAGTTGAGTCTCGGAAAGCTTGCTCTTCTTGCCGAGCTCGAGGAGAAGAACACTGGTTCGGGTGGCCTCAAGGTGAACGCCGACGAGGCGCGTGCCGAGGAGAAACTCAAGAAGGTCGACCAAGAGTTAGTTGCCATCAGGATCCAAGATCAACTCTACAACCAGGTTCTCCCCAGCACATACGATGCTGTGGATGACGCCGCAGCGCTTAATTTCGCAATGGAAGTTCATAGCATGAACATACCGCGGCGTCAGAAGGCCCAGCATCAGATATTTGAGGATGGCATGAGGCGGCTTCTAAAGCACGAGGCTCTGGATGCAATGACACTCATTGACCTCCTGACCTTGATTTACCTGAAGCCTGAGTCCCGCGCTGAGATTCCCAATCCATTCTGGCTAGCTCTTTTGGTTGCCGAGAGTAGCTGCCACAGTGACGAGGTCAAAGAGGCTAAGCGGATGATTTGGAGGAGACTATTTATACGCGATGATTGGGCTAAGATCAACGACACACAGCTCAAGGATGATCGTCAGGTGGTTGAGAGATTGGCAGAGACTGAGCTCTATTCAATGCTAACCGACTGCATCAGCTTCCGTAAGTGAAATGTTCATCTAACTTCTGGGGAACATATTCTGATTTGAATACAGAAGATCCACATGAGCCTTTCCGACCTCTGTCTCCGCACGAGGCTCTTGGTGCTTTTACCGAGAACCTCGACCGCCGGTTCCGCGATTTTGAGGCATCTTTCCGGACAAAGCTGATCGACATCATGAAGCTGGAGGATAAGATTCTCCATCAGCATGTGGAGAAGCATCGTCTCGGTGAATGGGTCCGCTCTACCTTCGAAGCCGCTCGAGTAGAGTTAGACAGCACGCTGGATAACGCCACTCAGAATGCTGCCGGCCCCCAAGTTGACGAGCACAATACTGTAATGAGTGGCTCAATATTTGATTATGGCAGCTAACTCGCCAATTCTCGTGGGCAGCTCTAGGTCAGCTGCTAGGGAGGCTGATGCTCGACTCGTCAATCTCTCATATTTTTCATCATTTGTACAGTATAAGGCTCATTCGAGATATGCCCCAAGTGGCATTGAGACATGAATGGCTGCCAGTGTTATGATTACGGCATATATCAACGCAGATGACTTCTATACACATTACAATGCAACACGCATACATGCACAGCAAAAAAAGGGGATTTTATTGTTGGCCTAGGAGAATAACCTGGGCATTGTTTTTATGTACTTAGTTTGCGTCTGGGGAAAATCATCTGTTGCTACAGAGCTTCTCCCTTATGTACAAGCTGTTTCTCACACCCTAGGTAGTGGTGTGAGTACTAGTTCACAAATTTCCAGAGATAACAGCAAGGGGTGGATTCGTGGTTGGATTACCACATATCAAGGCGTGTGAAATACGCTGTTCTCCCATTAGTAAGACCTTTCGGTATGTAATTTACTTGCATACTTATTGTGTACACATCTACCTCGCGTCTCTATAAAATCATGGCACTGAACATATTCAAATACGCATCTTCTTTGCTGTCACTCATGCATAAGCGACTGGTGGTTTTGGCTGCAGTCTTGATTCACTTCGGCATCGTGTACATAATCCATACGCCACATCATCAGCCCGGTACCCGTTGTACGGTCCAGCATCACTCCTTTTGACACCAAATACCATAATTTGCGGAACAGACGGCCATTAGCAATGCCTAAAGCAAAATCCGAAAAATGCATCCGTCATCGAGACTATACAGCTGAAGAAAGAAGCCGCTCATTTGCAGCATAGACTCAACTGCATAGTTAAAACGGAACACTACCAAGATACATGCCCTCCCCAAAACACCAAGCCAAGAACCTTGTTGGCAGTGGGCGGGGCAGTATCGGAAGGAAGAGAAGATCGTGGAGCAGCTCAGCCCTGCATCTTTCTTCGCTTGCCGACCTGGGCAGAGAAACCAGTCTTGATAGCGGTAACACTTCGTCGGGAGCCGCAGTTGTTGCAGGTGATGAAGTAAAGACGGTTCTCACCCTTGTTGAGTTCGGTATCGGGGGATTTGCAGGTCTTGCAGGTGACATACTCGACTGAAAGAGGGGATAATCAGCAAACAGACACCCGCAGTCGCAAAATTGCAAAAAAACTTACTGATGTATTTTCGGACAACGTTCTCGATCTGCTTCTGCTGGAAACGACCCTTGATGACCAACCTTCGGCTTCCGTCAACGGAACCGCTGGTGCCCAACTCGGCAAAAAGATAGGCGGTAAGATGCTCCTCAGTTCTCTTCATACGCTTAGAAATATCGGCGATATTGGCAAAGACGGTTTTTCGGTTGCCTTCTCGCATGCACTGGGGAGGGGGGATCTTGTAGCTCTTGGTTCCTGGGGAAGTGTGGTCGGGGTTTCTCTCGGTGAGTTGGTGGAAGAAGCGAGAAAGGAGCATGCTGTAGCCAATGGTCTTGGTCTCGTCGTGAGCCCAAATGCCAGTTCCCTCGTTCATGTCACCCTCCTGCTCCTGAGGAATCTCCTCGACTTCCTCGCCCTCCTTGAGCTCAAGTTTCTCGAGCTGCTTAGTGAAGTCATCATCGCCCTTGGGGGCCTTCTTCTTCTTCTTCTTCTTCAGAGTCAGGTCAAGGCCTCCATCCTCGGCAGGTGCCGCATCGTCAGCGGGGGGAGCGTCGGCGTCGGCGTCGGCGTCGGCATCGTCGACCTTCTTTGACTTCTTCTTCTTCTTCTTGAGCAGGGAAAGGTCGAGACCACCATCCTCAGCTGGGGGAAGGTCCTCAGCGGCTGTCGTTTGCGAATCAGTAAAGGACTCAAGGGCGGCAGAAAGCGGCGGCGTACGAGGCGTATGGGACTGAGCCGTATCCTTGGGTTCTTCGGTAGCGTTGACCATGGTCACTGAACCGTCAGCGTCGACAACAACTTGTTCGTCGGTGAAGGCAACGGATTTGCGTGATTTGCGTTCTGTTGGTACCTGCAAATAGAACAAAAAGAATGACGAGGTTAGTAGGAAATTCGATTGAGGGATGCGGTGTTGTTTTGTGGCTGTAGAGGATAGATGATGATGTGAAGGTGGCGGTTGGGAAAATGTGAGTCAAAGGCCTAAACAGTAAAATAAATCGATGTCGAATCGCCTGCTTCCCCCCCAGAAAGTGGTGTACAACAAAACCAGAGGTACTTTCGCCGCACCAACAAGAGGTAGTGGGGTAAAGGGCGATAAGAAGAACCTGATAGGCTCGTTGATGAAGCACTCGAGGGTTTTGGAGGGGTAAAAGATTGGGCCTGTGTGGTTCAGAGGGTACATGAAAAGCATGGCACAAGCATTTGAACTTCAAAGCCAGGCCTGTATTGTAGTGGGTAGGCACAGTAGGTTGTATTTCGTGTCATGTCCCAGCAGCCTCTTCAATAAGGGTTGTTATGAAGCATATGTGCAATTTGTTGCAGGCTTGTCACTCACCTCGCCCTCCATGGTTGCTATGTGGCTGTTTCTTGATTTTGCTGTTAATGGCCAGTTGCTGGTTTATTGGGGGTTTTTGCTGGATGTGGGTGTCGCAAATGGGCGGCTTCTTCGTATAAGGTACTGCGAAGATCTTTGGCTTGGGGCTTCTCGCGCAATGATATATCGTTTGTATTCTTGGATCGCAGAGTTTGCGCGCGCTGTTGATACGCTTCCTTTGATGGATTTAGTTGTGGGTTTAGGATGTAGAGGGAGACCAGTCCAACGTCATGGGCCGGGTGAGCGATACCTTGAGTCAACCAGAGCCCAAACCAAAGCGCAGGCGGCCCCAGGCTTCACGATGGAGAGTCACGAGGATGTCCACGTGATGATCTTGAAAGTGGTCCGCACCCAATCAATCGAGAAGCTCGTTAGAGCTTCCCCCAGTTCTTGTCGGAGCCTAGCTCCGGGCCCCGATGCGACTACGGCCTTTACAACTGTAACGACTATCAATCCTCGACCGACGGGAGGTTCCATTGCTGATTATCGCGACGCAATTACATCTGGCGATACGGCAGCGATCTCCGTGTACTGCACTGTACTTGGAACACCTGGGACTCAGCAGTCTTTTAACAAAGAAGTTACTCTAAAATAGCTAACTACCTACCTCTCAACCTGACGCCCAAGACCAACTTCACGACCCTCAGAAGACATCCCCAACGTCCTGTGGTTGGCAGACATATCCCGAATTGCATTGGCTGAGCGCATCTGTACTGAGGCCACTCACATCAAGACTGCCAACATGGCTGCCGACTCCTCCCTTGTTGACCTCCATGATGCGTCCATGTCAGATGACAAGGACGATCTGGACTCTCTCCCATCTATATCTACCGACGACATATACTCCGATACCTCCGATACCGATGCTCAAGCGGAGTGGGAGCGTAGCCTCGAGCAACTACAATTGATATTGACAATGATGATTGTGCCCTGGATGGGTAAATACTTTGGTCGCAAATTTGCCTACTGGAGTGAGTAACTCATTCACTTACTTATATCACCATTTATCCAAGATTGATGAGTTCTCTAACCAGCCGTTATCTAGGTTGGTCTCGATACATGGAGTGGGCGCATAACGTCGACATTCGATTGACAAATAAGGCGACCTTCAAGGCGGCGGGTGTTGTGGAAACAGCAGCTACGTTATAGACATACTTCAAACCAGACGATCCGATCTCGATATGAATGGATGACCTGAGTAATATGCATGTCTTTCATAAGGTGTTGGGGTGTAAATATGCATATGTTTTCTTTCTTTCAATAATATATGATTTCAAATATGCTTGTTTCGTTCCTCCTGTCAACCAAGAGACTCTCTTCCAGCACGAACCTAGTGTATTAACAACCGGATATCCAGTGAAATCTTGAAAACCAAAAGCGTCCTTATATTAGAGTTTCATTCACTGCATGATCATTATCCTTCATCCAAAACCAGTCTGAATGAACTACCCGTCCCAACTCCCCTTCCGAAAGACTAATACATCTAACAATCCTGGTATAATAATCCTTAATGCCGAACGGTCTCTATATCCTAATGCAACTTGATACCGACACCCAAGAGTTGGTGGTGCCCTCAGCGGTTTTGGTGTAACGGAGCTGTAGGAAGCACATAAATCGTGTTCCATAGAGTTTGTGGTCATGACGCTTGCGCTGATGGTACCAGAGCAAAGAGCCAACAAGATCATGACCGGACGCCCTTTACGCAGCTGAGCCGTTATATTATGGTTTTCTGATGTGTTTAGGGCTCGTCAAACGCTTGAAGAGATCTGAGACATTGATGGCCGTGAAGCGGCACTGCGGAGCGAGCCGAACTGATTGCGTGCAGTTCTGATGGTCAAAAGGAGACTTCCAGACACGCAGGCGAACAGGAACCATATGAAGACAGTGCTTGCTTGTAGTCGACGGCACCGTCCCTCATCACTCGCTGAGCCCCAGGCGATCCAGTCTCCAGGCAGAGCTTTGGGGTTAATATCTCCGCAGTTAACGACACGTAGCTTTGCTGCAAGAACAATAGCACCGATAAAGGTGAAAAGAACAGCTATGCCATCCAATGGTAGCTGCATGAGTGGTTTGTCGAGAGCTGAAACAAAGAAAGCGAGAAGGCCGACGATGCAAACGATCCAGCAGACAATGGCGATAAACATGATAAAGTTGACGGCAGCCGTTGCAGATCCTGCGGCGTCAATATTTGACGCCATGACGTTGCCGATGAGAGCCGTTAGGAGGAGCGTCATGAGCAGAGCGACACTGCGCAGGATCATTTGGATGAGGTTGTATCGCATGGTGGGCAACGGATGCTGGATAGCAGTGCTTGGTAGAGTTGATACGAGGTGTAGAACAGTAGTAGCACAACAGCCGTGGCACTATTACAGATGTCGAAGCGACTGCACTATGGTTGTGCACCTTGTGCAAGGGGTTGATCCGAGTGTTGGAAGTGGTGATTTGCAGAGGCAGTCTGGCAGCGGCAGCGGCAGATGGACGGACCTATGATTGATCGACAGCAAAGCTGGAGCAATGCGGGGATGAAGATGTCTAGTTACCTCAGAAGGCTGCGATTTTTGGTGGAGGATACATGTGGAGTTGAATTGAGGCGATTTGATGCGGTGCTCGAGACGTCTGGTGATAGGGTCGTGGTGGGTTATATCGTTGCTGGCGCATTGCCCAAGCAACCGTTGACACAGTACCTAGGTAGCTGTTGCAGGGGACAAGGGGATCATCTACATATGTTAAAACTCTCACATACATACATATTTTGTTCTAACCGCTCAATTGATTGTCGATACGAATACGCCAATACACAAAACCAGATGCTCAGACGAGTCTCATACAATTCGTTTGCAAACGTTTGATCAATTCAGAGTTTCCGTTGCATCATCACCAGCGGTAACCATATGGCGTGAACCAATCAAAACCACGCATGTCCTCGAGATGAGAGTTGACATTCCATAACCGCTGGCATTGAGACACATATACCGTCTCATTTTGAATAGAAAATTATCGTCGTCGATTGTATGATATGTTTCCTGCATTCTTCTCAAGTAGTTGTTTCATGAACTGTTCGTTCATCTTCACAGCAAAGCTCAACGCTCTGCATGTTGGTCCATCTTTGGCCAACAACACCATGTTGTGCTGTGCCCCAGAGTCGCATGACACCAATCATGGTGGCTCCGGTTGCCAGGTGAACCAGGCTGATGTACATATATGTAGATAGATGTAAAGCAAGGTTACGGAGTAGAAGGCTGAATTATAGGTGGACAAGAGCCAGACCACTTCTAGCTCGCCGAAGTGATTGATTGCGGGCCTAACACGTCCCGTGGCCGTGCTCGGGACTATGACAGGTGATCATGAGACAGAATCAGACATCAGATGATTACATGCGACAATTAGCTACTGTTCTCAAGGAATCCACAGCTAAGCTCTAAAGAAGTCAATCTGCTAAATGGCCAGTCTCGAACAAGAACAAGGGTAATTCCGTCCCTCCCGCTCCCAGTGATCGGTCCCAATCCTCCCCGCTATCCATTGGTCGAAATACTTGATGTCTGAGCGCATTTGCATACCTACCTTACCAAGCTATAGTACAGTACCTGAGTAGGTAGGTAAGTAGCTAGCTAATGAGGTACTCAAACTTTTGATCATTCTCGAAACCACAACCCGCATTGCCCATTCGTAATCCATGCCTGTCTCAGGATAGGTGCATACCAATTTTGGCCTCCAGCTGGATACATGGCTTAGGCAAGCTTTTGACATCCTCCGCCTCTAGCTAGCCACCGTAAAGCCATGACGCTGGGCCACTGAATTGAATTTCTCTCTCTACTTACTGAAGAGGCCCTTCCCTGCTCTATCCAACTGCCGTCCGACGTAGGCTTATCCATCCTCTCGGGACCCATCGATCGATCTTTGCGCCATGAAGACCATCGTTGGCTGTCAAATTTCGGTGGCGTCTTCGCCTTTCCAACCAGCCGACTCGAGAAAACGCCCATGGAATGAACACAGCATCACAAAACGAAGCAATTCGCTGCTGCGCACCCATTACGAAGAACCCTTCACCGCCCTCTCCCGGCATGGCTGCTCCTCTAAACCATCTTCCAGAAATCAGGGCCTAGCATATTACGTAGCCCGAATTGTGTCTTTCACTGTTCCACTCAGTGTTACTCAGCTGGTTGAAACATCAACATATGCGCGTATCTTCTTGTGAACTCTCAACTCAGTAACTAGATTGCCCATGACGCTAGGACTTGATTCAGGAAGGGTATGCATACCCCAAGATGTAAAAGGAGTGCTACTCATTGTGTTTTAGATGGGCCGGATGGCGTTCCATAGATCTGCAAGACTGAACGAACCGATCTATCTAGTGGATCACGAATCCTGATAATTGACGGCAATCTGAAAGAAAGAATCCACAAGATGCATGTCATAACTAGGTCAGCTGCAAGACATCGTTCATTGGAAAAGGGCGGTCAGTGGCATGCGTAGCGCCAAATTGAACTACCTACGGCTAGGTTAGCAGGTCAACATCACTGTACGCCAGCCATTATCATCCATCCAGCTGCTCGCTATTGGACAAGGTCACCCTTGCTGCAGCTGTCAGTCCCTTGCGCGGACCAGGATACCTGGGTAGATCCGCTGTCATGATTCACAGCAAAAAAGAGCCTCATCAACTTCATCAGTCAGTTGGACAAGTATCAAGGAAGCATATTGGAAATGTCATGTCTTGGTAGATAGATTCAGTAGCGCGGCGGCATTTCTGCTCACCGCTTCGATTCACTAAAAGGGCGTTGCTCCCACGTACCGAGCCACTGGTTGACCGACCATGTCGGCGGCCACTTACCAGAAACCCAATAGCTGCCGCCCATGTTGTCCGCATACTAAGTATGTAGCGACTTCGCCCAACCTTTCGGGTCCTTACTTCCACAGATTCGGGATATTTCATGCCCATCTCCGCCATATCGGGCTTAGAATCGCGGCCAAGGACAAGAGAACCACCCACATTCGACATTACCCCTTTCTCTAGGCCGCTTAAGGTAGGTTAGCAGGTTGTTGGCGCTCTCCATCGGACTCGATGTACTGGATACATGGGCACTGGCTAGCAACGCCCTTTGATGAGAGGTGTGAAGCAACTAAGCCTTGCTTGGCGTCGAGTTTGTTCCATTTTGCTCGGTCTCGCTCCCGCCGCCACGCTTTTCGCACTGCCCGACTTTCCCCTTTGAATCAACATGCATTGCCTCTTCCGGAAGTCTTCTGGAAACCCCATCTTCACCTTGATACACACACCTCATGCTCCCCTTAGGCCTCCCCGAGCATTAGAGTTTCCAAACATCAACTTACCGACTTTCTGGACTCTCAAAAAGGTTCACCGCCAACGAAACTGGTACAGGGCCTGGCTTTGAGACACCCCTATCTTAGTAGGTGTTCTCTGAGCCGCGATTCTACGCTACGCTGCGCTACCCTACCCTTCAACAGGTGTTACGCGCACAACATCAGATAAAATACAAATACAATAGTGGAATCGTGACTATCGGTAGTGATATTCCAAGATCTCAACGTTCGAACTAAGTGCCTTTCCCAAGCCTCAAACCGGAACACCTGTCTTTTGGTGCCGGAGGCGACTGACAACAAACACAATGGTACCACTGGTGCAACTGCGGGATGCCAAAGTATATCGCTTCATAGAATACGGAATGGGGGCTTCAATTCTTGACCGAACGAGCTGCTTGACACTGTTTGGGAAAGCCAAGCATTTGATGCGCATCGCCTCTACCTGAACGTTTATGCTTTTGCCCGCTGGTCCCCGGAGGTCAAGTCCGCAATTCTGGGCATCACGATGGTCAAGACTTGGGGTTAAGTTTGTTTGGCTCAGGCCTGCTAATGGTCTGAAGATATACTTTCCTGGTGCGAGCGTTGAAACGTCCTTTCTCCGACATCTTCAAGCAATCAGCCAAGCGGCCGCTGCTCATCATGTCCGTAAGAGGATGCAAAGAGGATCATCGGTGGCTCAAAAAGTGAACTAGGTCTGTTCCTTATTCAGTCTCCCAGACTACCTTACCGGAGCTTCTGGTGCGCCTTCCGTCCTCTGACGGTAATATCACCAAGAGCGTCAACCCACTTTTGGATGCCCCGGCTCTGAAAAGGGCAATCTCGTGGCGCGACGTTATTGAAGCGGCGTTGTACAAACGCTCGGCTCCCCTTTTTGGACCCGAGCTTAAGGCCTCGCGACAGCCTCTGATGCTGATCCCTTATGATTTCGTACATTATGTCTCGAGCCGGAGTCTAGGAATCGGCCTACGCCTCGCCATTAGGGAACATGTATCCCAAGGCAGCACATAAGGGGATTTGCCGAACATGGCCATGGCCCATTTGGGTACTGTTGAAGCGAAACGCCTCATAATAATACATTCCCGGGATGCATCTAGGCATCACAAACGCTTGCCTAGAGTGGCCTGGGAGACATCGCAAGATTCACCACACCTTTGCCCAAGATAGGTCCCCACTTGCAACAGTCCTCCAGATGCATGTACTTTATGAGCGAACTCATTATTCGGTGGCCTCTCGAGCACTTCTCAGTGGATCACGGTATTCGCAAGGTTTGATCATGGCCACGATTGTGGGAAACCCAACACCACGAAATGTGGCAGAGATGCATGATCACGGGCGATATAACGGCGGGGCTACCGCTCCCGCTGCCGCCGTTGCCGCCGTCCATTATCGATAGAGTCGGCCGTATCATGGACGGTTGAATCGGGACTTATTCTTTAACGATATTTCAGAGATCCATACGTGGGCTTTCAATGGCGTTGGAAGGTCATGGCATGCTAACGACAGGCCCGGTTGGCATAATGTATTTTGGCACATCCGTACTGGTCTACAGACTGGCGAGTAGGTAAACTCCTTGCCGGCCACGTATGTATATATGCTGTGTGCTGCACCGGGGTGCTAGTGACAAGCTATCGAGAGTTAGTGGTGGAAGGGCAAACTCAAATACACAACAACCAACGCGATTAATTCTTAACGTTTATCATGCTGTCATGAGTCCTTTGATTGAGTTTGATGCTGCGTAATGTTCTTCCCTCTCATCAATCATATCCCTGTCCGAGTCTCCAACCATGATAAGCAAACTTTGAGGGATTTGATCATACGTCATGCGGAAAAAGGTGCACTAACTGACCAACATGACTGCACAAGTTCAGCTTGGGTAAATTAAAGTTAACAACATGGTCCCCTTGAAGAGAGCACGATCTCCTAAAATTGTTCTATGTGCACATAAATCCAAACACGAATAGCCAAGATGCGCTTACTGGTATATCTATAGTACAAAAAACTGTATGAGGCAACAAATGGCAGAAAAAGAGACATAAAAAAAATACAAGTAGATAAAAGATGACTACCACCGGTGACATAACCCAAGAGGTAATCGATCATACGGCACGACTAAAAATAAAGAATGGGAAAAAGTATGTGCAGCGACTTCGAACACACGGAAGACTGCCAGCAGCCAGAGAAGAGAAAGTTCGTTCGGCAAAGGCCAGAGGACCTAGGGGCGATGCCGAACAAGATATATACCGAAATATCAAGAAATTGAACAAGTGTCGGTTGTGCCAGCGAGTCAGGAACAGAGTTCGCAATGACGAAAGTGTGGACGCTAGAAGCATCCTTCATGGTTTGAGACGATGCAACGAGGGCTTGACCTTGACGAGTCAAGTTGGCTGAAAGGAGCTTGAAACAAACACAAGCCCGAGATTGAAAGCCGCGCCACTCCTCGCCACTGCACGACGATGTCCTGGTGTAGAATACAACACCAGCAATCAGAGAGAAACTCGGAGATTGAAGCCACAAGGAATAGAAGAGCGGGGCGCCATGTGAACGACAAATGCTCCCAAGACCCACTCAGTTAACGGGCTCAGGAACCAGGGTTTGGAGCGTTAGGTTGTGGCGGATCATCCAGGGCTGCCAGTAAGTGGAGTCGATTTTTTTCTTTAGGTGATTCTTTGCCTGGTCTTCGCTATGTCCTTTCAGTATCTTCTCCGTTCAAGTTGGCATAACTTGACTTGCTGATGGCATCCTTGGCTTGCAGAGTTTGAATGCATCAACGAGTCATGCTGATAGAGACCGTGGGAAACCAGCGTTCCTGGCGAAGAAGGGACAACTCCTTGCTCGTTTCCCTCATAACTGATACGCCTCACTCTTCTGCAGTGGACTTGAATCTTTGGTACGGGCCCTGAAGCTTCAGCTCTCGCTTCTTGTTAATATGCCCACTTCGCTGAGCAGGAAGTATTAACAGGCAGTAAGTCGGAAATTCGGATGTGTGAATCAGGTTTGGGCCAAGCCTGGTTGTCTCTGTGGATATTCAGAAGGGCCAGGGTATAGGCGTAACCCTGACTGTGTGGTGCCGTGTTTCGTTGGGTACAAAAGGGAAAGAAAAAACGTCTCTCATCATCGTTCAGCCGTGTTGCTGTATTAGGCCGCTCAATGCGCAAGAGAGGCCCTCCATATTGTAGAGGAGCAGAACAGAGGATGCGGAAGACAAAGGCGCCTTATGTAACGAGACCCGCTGGGCAATCAAGCATGAGTGTTGTCCCAATATCGCTTTCGAGCGTTCACTGCATGCTCGTTGTTGTCGAAGCGGTACTGAAAGAAGTTGAAGACAGCGAACTCATCTCGAGTCATGACATATGAGTTGGGGTGCATTTCCACCTTAGTCCAGATTCGTGTTAGAGCAGCCTCGAGTATTTTGCTAATAGTAGGGTCTGATGAGCCATCAGGGCTCTCACGAGCAATCTCGAGAGCCTGCGCGACACTGGCGTCGTCTTGTTGGGGGCGTCTGTGACTAGCAGTTGCGGTGGCCATGTTGACGTTGAAAGAGTCAAGGGCGTATGTGTTGTTGATATTTTGGTAATGTAGGTATGGGACTTCTTGCTGAGACTGAGACTGTGGCCTTTGGGAAGAGACAGGGTGGATGGGGAAGATGTAATAAGGTGGAAGCTGAGAAGAATCATGGGAAGCGACGGACATCATGGTAGTACTTGTTGGTCTAATATAAGCAGGCGAAGTGGATGGGGTTGATGCAGGCGAGTCGTGCATGTATCAAAGAGAGACTTCCAGGCTAGGGAGCTGGAAATAGAGCTGCCCTTGTGGAAAGTAGGTCACTTAGACAAGTGGAGAAGCGTAATGGGGGAGGGAGGGGAGGGGAGGGGGGGCGAGTGGCTCGTGTGGGTTGACAGGCTGAAGGTGATGAGATTAATGCCTGTCCCAGATCTGGAACAACGTCTCAAGTGGATCGAATTATGACAGGGGTCAACGTCGTCCTCAAGGTTTGCTCCAAAGAACTGTAATGCGCGGGATGTTCTCTTCCAGGATGGTAGTGGTGCTGTCTGTCGCTTGTGCTGTAGGTGGTAGACCTGGCACGGGTTCGATCAGTCCGTCTCGGGGATTTTGAGTTGGCGAATGTCTTACACCGGCATAGATAGTTGCTTTCACTCTATCCAAACAGAGACCGAGTAATGTCGGCCGTGGGAAGGCAAAGGGTCGGTCCTGGTCCTGGTCCTGGTCTTGGTCTTCGGGTTATGTATTGAGGCCCTTGTCACTTTGATCCTGGTTAATGACCCTGTCCTGGTTTGTCTTTTTCCTTTCTCGTCCTGTCTGTGTGACTGATGACGGGGGAGTAGCAGGAGTGGCTGATATGTGTATGGATGGAGCTTGTTGATGAAAGGTAATAGACGGACGGGCAGCAGCAAAACTGAGTTCTAAATAACAATACGACCTTACAAGCGTCGATCAAAGCTGAGCAACAAAAAGTAAGTCGATAAGGCGTGTTTTGTATGGGTGAATGTGGTTGAGTATTGAAGCAGGTTGGTCGAGGAAATCAACCCAGAAAACCGGAGTAAACGGCTTTCTCTTATAGATATCTCCAGATCACACAACCGCAATGGCTGACTGGAGAGAAGCAACTATGAATTATGGTTTCCCTCTTTTCGGCTTCATGAGCGACAAGCTCACCGAAACCGCCACCCTTGAGGTGTCGATAATATCTTGTTGTCGTTTGCCATTGACCACGCGTTACGTAGGTTGTCCTTTTTCGTGTGTATTCCACTTTTTCTTCTCCCCTTGGACGCCGACGCCATAGTCGCTGCCGTGATCGCCCCAGGGCACAGGGGCGTGTGTGTCTGAACAACCCAAGTCTGGATGACAATTGTCAGGAAAGAATAGCATAACTACTGGTAGCAACAAACGAGAAAGGGGGGAGAGTGGAGGGGGGGAGCAAGAAGAAAAAAAGAAAAAAGTCAAAAAGCCGCCAAAGCAAAGTGTACGCCGTACTCACTACTTAGCCTAAGGGATCGGGGTGTACGGATATGGTTGACAATTTTGGGTTTGTGGTTTAAGGTTTGCTTCCCTTGGCTTGGGGTGTAGACAAGGGAGGGAGTGTTGTGATGCACCGTGGGTCCAGAAAGGAAATCGACCCAGCCAAGTAAGGACGGAGAGTATAGGAGACAAAGCAAAAGCGAAGGCAAAAAAGGAGGCTACGCCGTAACAAGAACCTGGCTGCAAATATACCAGTAACCAGTGGACGGGCCCGAAGTCTAATCGCACCAGAGATCAACAGGCTCCAGACTTCAAACTTCAGGCTTCAGACCCTCGTGAGACCAGCTCCGGCGTGACTCGGCCTTGCAAGGAATTTGGGGACTACCTGAGTAGCAGTCGTGGCCCGGGAACCTGACCCTGGTCAATTTTGGTTGATTAATTGATTAGTAACTCAACTCGCAGCGCGCGATGTGCTGTAGATCTGCTTCAAGATCTGGGTACGTACATACATATTCCAGCAGTGGCGCGATGCAACGGGCTTTTGTGTCTTGGACCCGTTCTGTATCATGTCGATAATGCAACCACTAGTAGGTCATTTTCTATGAGACGCCAATTCGAAGCAGGGCTGACAAAGGATCAACAGCGCGGCGCTCAGAGCATGCCCTGGCCCTGGGACTGATGTTGACGTTGAGATTGACATGACTGACAGTTGTCAGTTGTGGCGGAGTGGGGTTTGGTCTGACCTACTGTCATGACCCGTCATGTCCATCCTGTATGTGCATTTTTGAAGTTAACGTTTGGGAGTAATTGTGTACTGGTTTGCCGGTTAACTTTTGATTCTGGTTGTTCATGACGGAGATGGTACAGCGAAGGCCATGTTCTTGTTTCTTGTAGCATGATCCGTGGGCCCCGGCGTCTTAGTCAGTTCTATGTAATAAGGTCTCGCCGAGAAATGGATGTAGTACCGACTGATTCCCCGGTCCGTAAAAGTTTCATTGCGTGTTCTGAATCTTTGGCTTTTGCCTTTTTTCTTCTCCTTTCTCTTTCTTCCTCTCTGCTGTGCCTTTACTAGGGTTCCATGATGTTAGTCCAGTCCCCGATTTGGGGATGCCTGAAAGAAGAAAAGCCCCCGTGGGGTGCTCAATAGCGCTTACTCAATTGGTATAAAGGATCAGGAAGGTACACGTCTCTCGGTCTCAGCAGCGCGGCAAACATCAAGTACACGCATGCCGCCTACCCATGACCTAAAAGGCGACGCTAGTGAAGCAGTAGTTGCCCTGTTGGGTTTGATAGACTTTGGTACAGGGACCTCGCTCGTGTGGAGTTGGAGCTTGTGAATCTTGAATGGGGGCCTGAATCTTATACTCCCGTGTTGATGATTTGTGTTGGCTAAGCTCCGTAAACTTCAGAATAGTGCGGTGATACGGATGCAATTCCGTTCTTTGTGTCATGATAAAAATGCGGTGAAGGTTAGTTATGGGATAGTAGAGTTTCAAACACCGATCAGAGGCGGAATTGGTACGCAAATACTAAAATGCCTGATCTCGTGAGAACATCGTACCAGCAGTACAGCCCATAACCTTGATCGAAACCCTTTTGCCTCGGTATCATAGATACCTACTCTGTATGTAAAACGAGTGCATTCATCGTTCCCAGGAGAGAGTGCCCTGTGATACTATACGCAGCTCAATTCCAAACAGCCCTATGTGTCCTGCGCAGTTAGTAGTTGTTCCAAGCCCTTGGCGCTTGGTTAACGGCGCCATCCACCTGGCGTCAGAGGACGACCCTTATACCCACTATGCTTCTGGATTCTTTCTAGTACCAACACCAAGCTTCTCCTTTCCTCCCAGATTAAGCTATAGTCCATTGCTTTGGCTTTCGTCCCTGTCGATTCCATTCCTCAAATTTCCAAGAGTTCAGCCTCTGTGGGACCGGTAAGAAAAAAGTTTCCTCACAACATCAAATACGCCATTGATTCTAGCAGTTGTCCTCCTTGGTGTCGCGTCATCATCGTACTTCAGGGTTTGTTGTACAGGAACTTACTGTACCTAGCGTTATGACATCACGTCAATTTCCATTGACGGCCTAACTACGGTAGACGCACTGTTGACATCCATCCATCCAGATTCGGTGCAGTGCCAATTACGACACAGCATTTCGCAGCTCGACGGTGATGTGCCGGGAATGCAATGCAGCAGTCCCCACGCCATTGTTGTTTTCAAGACAGCGTCGACAGAATTGCATGCATGCAGGCAGCAGGAAGGCAGGAATCCCGGCAGGCAACAGGCCCTGTCACTCGACCAGCCGTCTCATCTCTCAAGAGGGTTTTTTTTTCTTCATCTCTTTTTCTAAATAGGGCTTCTGCGTCGTACTGATCAAACCGCTAATATAATGACCGAACGGCGGTTGGGCTGCAACATGCATGTTGGCTGCTCCTAGCACACTAGCCCACCAGAAAGTTTTGCACTTTGTCATCTGTACCCGCTCAGTCTTTACGATGAAGAGAGCTCTTTTGTGCAAGGCAGATTCGAGATGTGAACTTGGTGCTTTGGGCTCCTTACTCCCGTCCGTACTCCGTACCTTACTTACATTTGCTTCCAGTGCCGAATCTCCGCTTTCCATACTCCACTCAACACGGGCATGGATTCGGAGACTCCCTTATCCAAGGGTTAGAACTTTGAGAACTTCGCCTAAAACTCTAAAACTCTCGACTCCGCCAGCCTCGGCATACTGTAGATATGTAGAGCATGTTTGCTCATCCTGTTGTCCTGTCTTGGTAGTTGACAACACATCGAGGTTGCATATGGTGATTTATGTAAATGTCTCACCGACTGTTGCTAACTTTCTTGAGTATGCACTGCTTCGCATATCTGTCACGCGCTTGTCTCTGACGATGGGGGCGCTTGCTTATCTAGTCTGGTACTATCCGAACTATATTTGTCGTGGTAATTTGGTTATTCGAATTTTTATGCCTTGGCGGCCAAATGATTGAGTCAGCCGTCCTTCGTCTCCTTATCACTCTAAACAGTCTAGCAGGCAATAAAGTGAGCGAGCCGCGTCCACTGGAAAGACATCCATGCGACGATACTTTTCTTCAAAATATTTGGCTCCGCTCAGCCGGCGGCTGGCTGGCTTCGACGAACTGTCAGTCGTGAAGGAACGAGAATGAAAGACATCATTAATGATCTAAGGTCCCACAGCAAAAAAACTCACCTTCTGTTCTCCTCTTCAAGCTCCGGCCAAACTGTACCATTTTGAGGATCCAAAAGTTTGACTTTATGACTCCATCTGCACACACATCTCGTGTATTAGTTGTTCCAGCATTTGGGGATAGCAAAGTTTATTCGTGTCTAGAGAGTTTTTTTGAATGCCACTATTCCATTGCTCTACCGCTATTATAATATGTACTCTGTGTTCGGGGTTATTGGGCGCGTGAAAAGAGTATCAAAGCTGAAGGGCTGTATGCGTGGTTATTACATTCTCTCAGCAGGGCGCCTAATACGGATCATCATCGCCAAGACATCAAGCTAATGTAGCGATCAGGGACACCTCCACTAAGTGGCACTATTATTCCCAGTCTCATTTCCATTTCTCTCCGACGTTGCAGCAGCCTGACTCAATATCGTCATAAGTGTGCCCTGTGACCCTTGAGACAACAACCAACACTTGCCATCTCTTTGCGTTAAGTCAACCTTTTGTTCTCTCTCACCGGTCTGACAACTATGTATTGGCGATACAACAGCACCAAAGCGTCATTACAAGTCGCCGTTTGGTGCACAAACACAATTTGTCACTTGAGTTGAGTTGGATGCTGGACCGGGCCTCTTCCGCAGTGGTCCACAGGCTGTTCCGCTCCAGTCCCAACTCCAGATCTCTTGATCCCGAAAAACATGTGGGGGATCACGATCCATGTGATTGTCGATGCCAACCCTGACGCTCCGGAGTTATGGCTATCCACCTGACCAGGTCCTGGGTGCATGGTGAAGCACAAGAGAATTGGCGAGCTACGCGCCGGGCCAACTACATAAAATTCCCGTCCGTAGAGCGGCAAAGTCACGAATCAAAAGGCTAATGAAGAACACTTTAGCCTCTGGTCCCCTGCTTCAGTTTGGCTTCGCATCACATCTCACAACCGTCGATGTTACAGTGGCCGACTAGTACATTGGCCTTGGCCGTGCTCCTTGCTATGTACTAAATAGGAGCCACTTTTTCCCACATGGCATGGCGAATCGCCGCCTGATGGTTGAGCCAGACGCTTTTCTCAGTTTCTGCTAATGTTGTGATTGTATGTACATCAGCTGTCAGTTTTAAACAAACATTCATTATGTTGAGTTCCACTCGCCCTGCCATGTAATTTCCACGGACCGTCCACTACTGGGCTAGGCGTGTCCACCGCTGCTTCATCGCCAAACTCTATTGTCGAACACCAATTGTTCTCCTTGCTTTGTTGGATTGCTTGCCTCCCTGTTTGCTTGCTAAGCCTTTACTACGTAGTACGTGAACTGGATGCTCCACGTTTTGTTTGAGCCGTTGGGTTGATCATTGCAGGGATCCCTTGCACGGGCAATCGCAGGCAGAGTTGATTGCCATCTATCCGTACCTGGGCATCTTGATTTTTATTTGATTTTGGCTGTTCTCCAACGGTAGACAGCTTCTTTGTCTTAGTGACGGCGAATTGATTGCCGTTTTAGGCCGTCACAATAAGCAAACAGTGCACCTCTACGGCCCGAGTTTCAGGGCTTAGACTAAGAAAAAGAAAAGAAAAGAAAAGAGGGAGAGATAGAAGGGAAGAAAATGGATAGGGGGAAAACACCAAAAACCCAAATCAAGGTTTGAATCACGAGAACGAGAACGGTGAATGACATCTCGCGTGCGTCTAAACATCCATTGCAAGGCCAACAGCGGATCACACTACATACTGTAGTATGTATGTATGTGTGTATGTATTAGGCCCGCTTCTCGGAGCCGCTGTTTGGCGCCGATTAGGTACCTGATACACATTGCACCTGCGTGCCTATCATGGAAGGTGATTTACTATGGGAAATTTAGGAATTCGAGGGAGTGAGCCTGTAAAAGGCAGGTTTCTCTCCAAGGTGGACAATGCTCAGTCATAAGTCTCCTCCATGCATATCATCAAGCCCACCTTATCGAAAACCGCGGAATAGAGCCAACCCTAGTAAGTTCCCACCGCTAAGAGTCAGGCACTCGAAACAATCGCCAACTTGACTAGCCGTTATTCCCGCTCACTAAAGCCCGCCCCAATTCTTTGATTACTGCAGGGGGGGTTAACGTTACCTGAACCTTGATTTTCGAACCCTGACTTTCTTTGACCTGTCATGCATGGATTCAACGGAAACATGAGCGCCCGGGGCTAGCTCCAGTTCTGGATATTCAGAGACAATAGGTAGGATCTTTTTACTTTCGCACCAACGATGATCTCCACTTCCTCCGAACGGGTTTCTTTCCAGTCTTTTACAGATCCCCGAAATCATGAGGATCCTTTCGCAACTCGCTCGGTCTTTGCTATGACATCGGGCAGGGCAAAGTCAATCAGCAAACTGACTCTTGAGCCTGAATCGTAACGCCGTGGGTCAAACGTGGTTGAGACAGGTTGCCGAATCCACAACCAACGGCCCTTCCAGAACTTCTAGTCGCCTTCTTCTCTACCTCTTGTCCACAATTGACGCCCCGCCCGCTGCTTGGTGACCTTCTTGGCGTTTCGAGGCCCATTTTGGAGTTCTAGCCGCCATCTCGAGAGAATCTCAAACAGAGCCACATAGGAGCACATGGCGTTGTTCAAAACGTTGCGGTTGCAGATCCATCGGCGCACTATCCTCCTCTGGACGAGAGGCACGCCAAGTTTCTTACGACCATTATTGAAAGCCTGGGCTTCTTCACAGCTGTTTCCTATTGTGCCATTCAGGTCACTCCTATTCGACGCCTCCATGTTAGAGTTCAATGGCTTAGGCCATCCGGAGCCGGTTCCTGAATTTGCTTCCGACTACGGTAATCCTGTTGGCTGATCACTGGCTCGGTGCAGCCGATTTTGCTGGATCTGTCTGCGGCCCGGATGTTTCATCCCGTGTGATTCAGCCACAGGAAACAGATGCCCCGATGTGTGCTTCAGAGGTAAGAAGTTGTACTATACAATCAAGTCTATCTATCAATAATTCCAGCCAACACCGAGGACTGACTACACTAATTTTACAAATACCGTGTAAGTGGCTTACACTCCAAGCCAAGCGTTTCAGAAATGGATCGTCTCTGTGTTTGGAAGCTTGTGAGTTTCCAGTCTCGAACCGTTATGATGCCATCTTTGACCAGCTAAGCCTTCTTCTTTCCGATCTTATAGCCCCATGATCGAAGGATCTTAACAACCTTGGGTGTTAGGGCGGCCGTTAATGGCACTCGAATGAAGATAAAGCTCTTGTGAATGGCGTACGCCAGCGCCAGCTGAGTTGCTAAACCTGTCGCAGATTGAGTCGTTAGCCTTTCTCACCAACTCAGCAAGCGTTATCTACTGCCCACATCACGAGCTGCTAGGGGCAATGGGAGGCATCTAATGCGTGCGCCCAGGGGCAAAATCTAACGATAGTACTCACTAGCATCGGTACGATTGCGTTCCTCAGCCTTCTCGACACCCCATGTGGCCATCTCCATCTTGTCACTGATATCGTCATCGCCAAGTGCTCTCGCCTCAGCCTTCTTGAACGACTGCCAGTAGGTGTGCCAGGCCTCCCGAACAGTATCGGGGATCATCTGCTTGATTGACGACATCACACGATGTTCGACCTCGCCTAAGTTGCGCCGGCGGCATCAGTTAGCTACCCACTGAGAATAAATGTCCGCATGATCTCGTTGACGGATCTAGGTGAGGCCGCGGCAATATCTTACCGATTTTATCAGCACCGACCATTCTAACAAACAGGAAGCAGAATGGGAAGTCGAGAACGGTCAGCCCGAGGTAAACGCCAACGGTCACCCAGCCGTATTCCTTTGTAAGCTTCTTGAGTTTGGCGGTGAGGCCTTTTGGTTCCTCGGCCTCGCCAATGGTCGGCTTCTTGTTTGTCTTTCGCTTTGTGGTAAATCGAAATCCACGCCTTAAGGCGCCTTGGAGCATGCCTGGTGTTGTTGTAGAACCGATCCCGAAGCGAGCGCTCCTCAGCCTGGCCATTACACTATCCCAAGGGATGGCCTTCCATCTCAAAAGCTGCCGCGCGGTCTTGTTTTGCGACTGTGATGTAAAGAGTCTCGTCCATGCGCCATTCCAGGCTGCCTGTTGAGCTGGCTGGCTGAAGGCCCGCAAAGGCGCACGCACGCCGCGAACAGGTTGTCTTAACATGATTATCGAATGAGGTCGCTTGAGTCACAGAATCCAATGCCCTCCTGAGTCGTAGGTTTACAGTCGAAAAGAACGTGGCTGAGAAACTTCGTGATCGGTCGAAACGGATGAGAGGCGATAATTAATCGTAAGTGGTCGGAGCTTTCGGATTTACTGTGTTGGATTCAAGGAATTATAAGATGCGTAAAACCAGCCAGATTCATAATCAGAACATCGTGACTCTTAAAAATGAAATTGCAAACCGTAATCAGGTTATCTTGCCGTTTTCTCCCGAACTCGTGTGGTAGCCGGCGACTCGTCGTTCGAGAGAAATTTCTGGAGGTTTGGCGAGGTGACGATGATGCGAAATTGCGCCACGATCATGTCCAGATTAAGCCACAAGTCGCTTTCGTGGCTGTGGTATCACGTGTTTCCTCTTGCTAATGTAGGCTACCTAGGTAGGCAGCTACGACAACTGAGATCTTCTCACCACAACCATCCTTCAATCTGTAAAGCAAGTGACTTATCTTGAAACAGTGTTTCGGGTGAATAAAGCCTTCAGGGACTTTGCGAAGCTCCATGGACTCGAGTACATTGTCTGAGCTCCCAAGTCTCGGGCCAGTTTTTAGTATGAGGTTACCCAGTTGTACGAGCCGAAGAATGGGACCTGTCTCAAGTTATGATTGCCTAATTCTGAAGCTGACGGTTGTGTAGAAGATCCTTTTTACCTTTGCCGTATTTGATTATGCAGCTATACTGCGGTATCACCGAAAATATACCAAAGTGATTGGTGAATATAACATACAACTGGGAACAATCCAGCATTTGGCTTCCTCGGACACTTATGAACACAAGCTAAAATTGAGTCCGTAAACCCTTTGTGTTTTGGAGGCCTCGTTTTCTCGGTTCCATGATAGGAATCTCTTGTTGTCATTAAACATTTCTCGCCTTCCGAGTCGCTTGATGTAAGTCAGGGGTAGCATGGCTCTGAGTTAGTACTAATCGTCAAATCGCATCTAGAACATAATCTGCAGTGCAACATTGCACGGTGGCCTCCATATTGAACTCTGTCCGAGAAAGAGCGAAGAGGCGTCATAGTACTTTGCATCTTGGCGTATGACGGCTGTTGTGTGATGGTGCTGCAAGTGGCTGCTTACAAATATGGAGGGAGGATGGTTTTACTCTCGTCGACTACACATAGAGGTATCACGGGAATTCCTATTTGGATCGCCATCTCCACGTTAAGATAGGTATACAAAGATATCTGCATACCTGCCTGCCTGCCTTGGGCACAGGTCAACTCCGTGTCCAATACAAGGAAGTTGCCTGCAGAAGCCACGGGCAACTGTTGCGAGCACTGCTTGGCAGTGATATCGACTCTCGTTCGGTACCTACTATATTATTTTACTTGACCTAATTACCCGACTCTTTTCCAAGCAGCTCCTAGGTCAAACTAAAGGTGCCTTCTTGTAATTCTAACTTCATTTGCTGGCATACCTACCTACCTACCTAGGTACTTAGGTATGTACGTGAAGTAAGGTACCAACTTAGGGACCTTCCTCCTAGGCATAGTATATATGAAGTGAACCTTCCTCTCTCATTCTTTGCCGGCTCGTCCACTCACTCATCTTTCAGCTCTCACAATCAAACTCTTGCAACCTCATTTCTCGACCCAGTTCCTGTACTTGGACCTGACGAGTCCATTTTGGCATAAAAATGAAGGTGTTCGAGTGACATATTGCAGCTAAAGGATTCCAACCCTATTTCGACAAACTGTCAACCGCATTCGCCCATCACTGTCCTCTTGCGAATCCTCCGGTTTCTCCTCACACTCAACGGATGGACTGAGTTGATAACAGCCAATTTTCCAACTCATGACCACTGGATAGAGCCATTGATTCGCTTCTTCTCACTCGTTACACTCTAATCACATCAAATGCCAATGATGCCAGCTGCCATCACATACGGCAAGAAGAGAAATAGAAATATCCTGAGGACGCTGGGAACACGTCGCCAAAGAGCCATACCAAAACCTTTACTGCCTGATCGGCTGCGTATGTTGTCCCACATGTCTTCCCTGATAAACCTCTAACTGTTTCGGAAGCAGAGTTCCATACAAACAATTCCCCCAAGCAAGCATCCCGGAAGAGAGCAATGGTTGATCCGCAAACTGCGGATGAAATGGCAAGCTGGTTACTAGACGATTCCACACCCGAGCGCTTCTCCAGTGAAGAAGATGACTTGTCTCCAAAAAAGCGGCGGACCACCACACCGAGGAACTCGGTTTCGATTGATAGCAATCAAGCTATCTCGCCACCGGATTTCCCTTCACCTATCAAAACACCACTCAGATCTTTAGATACTCGCCCTCGGGCCTCCCGCATGGGTAAGCACTCGCCATCGAAAGCCATGGGAAGGGTTCCTAGACGAGCTGCCACGACTGGTAGACAGAGGGATACACCACAAAAGCGACTAAGTTCAAGCTTACAACGCCGCCATGTGCCTACGAGATCGCTGTCTTATGACCCCCTCAAGTTTCACCCTACGAAAGACATTGCAGCGGCGACACCTGTGGCGCTCGATACCTGTGACAACAATGCGAGAAATCGCATTGTAGAAGGATGTCAGATTCCTCGCATCCAAGGCCGGTGTGCTGGTGAAGAAATTACGGGAAAACTGGCCGCTATGCTGGCCGCTACCAATGCACTCAAGCCTTCGCCACAGCAGGCCAACTGTTCGACCTCAAGATTCACGCGTATGGTACCGTCGAAAGTACGTGAAAAGGTCTCAAATGCTTGGGATCGCTTCCATACAAAAGCGGCGAATCGCGAGGAAAAACAGGCTCCGGCCTTCCCCCACTCAGGCGATGAACAAGGTGATAGGTGGATTCGAGAGAGCGTTGTTCCTACTCCTCGCTCACATGCATCAACTGAGAACGCTTCTCCGATCAGTAACATTGAGCTCCGATTGAATGAAGGGGATAATCTCAATAAAAGTAAAGTCCAGCAAATCGTTGGAGGTCGGGTTAACAGAAAACCGTTAGCAGACGATGGAAAGTCCCTCAGAAATGGAAATCTTGTGGAGGATCCATTCTCTGAACGAGCTGACAAGCGAGCTCTAACATATTTCGAAAACCGGCTGAATCAAGGTTCAAACAATGGTCCAAAGACGCCCCCCTCTTCGTTTTGCAATCCATTCGAATCCGAGAAGGGATTCGACGACAACATTGAAGATAGGTTCTTGAACAGTACACCAGTCGGATCTTCAACCCCTCGGATTCTAGTCGAGCGGCCATCAACGTCGAGCAGTGGTTGCTGCTCTGCGGACGGCGATATGCACATGCCAGTAAAGCATTGTAATAAGAAACCGGGATCTTTATCGACTACTGACCAAAAAGAAATCAGAGAACACCACTTTTCAAGACATAAGCTTTTAGACCCTAATGACGATATGTTGGCTAATTCGGCTAGTCAAGCTCGACAAGTCTCGAAGAAAGCGAAGAGAGACTTGCATACCTCTAACAGGATGAAAAAACACCCGTCACCCAGCAAAGAAGCTCTAGAAAAGTTGGAGCTCCAATTTCAGCAGTACACTCATGCTCGTGTCTTGGAGCCTGTCAAGCACAATATGGATGAGCACATAATGGAATCTATGGACGCAAGCCCATCCCCAAGGGCATGTGAAAGGAGAAGGTTGAGCTTAGCTCGTCTGTCGGTCACTACTATTGACGAGCTGGTTGACCCATTGTGCGGAAAAGTTCACCACCGCCGAGGCTCCTCAACATCTATGCTCCAATTGGTACGAAGCCCTCACATGCTACAAAATTCGGTCAAGTTGCGCAAGGATATCCGGTTGGCGCCCCATTATCGTCCAGCTGGTGTTTCCCCTTCTGAGGTGGACGAGTTACATTAGCAAGTTTGGGGAACCCGGCGATAGCCAGTGAACCTTTGCATTGATTTGATGCCGCAGGTGATGGAAGCCCATGGGAATACGGGCACAATTTGTAGTCAACGAAGAGGCAAAAACGACAGCAACCATTCTTATATTGATTAGGAGATAGCCGGCAGGCTATGTGGTTATGACGAGCTGCGAGATTGTGATAGATGAAGTCACAGGCAGTGGTAGTGCAGATTTATGCTTGTCTATAGCCGCATAACAAATCATACTATTATCCTCAACTCCGATCGAGGGTATCAATGCTAACAATCTTACATGTTTGTGTATAAGTGCAAAGTCCGTAATTCCATACTCCTTTCAACTTCCGGGGTTCCCCTTATCCTCGGTCTATTTGATGACATAACAATTGAAGTTACTTGAGACGTTTAATAGCGGTGGTGGCGCGCACCACGACCATCGGTACCGCGCATGCGTCGAGTGCCAGCAGCCTTCAATGACGTTAGCATAGTGTCGATCCGAGAGCAGTTAGAATGAACATACCTTGACGCCAGGTCGGCGAGTCAAACTACCCTTGAGCTTGAGGAGGGCACCGCTGACCTTGTCCTTCATGGAAGGTCGGCGCTGGTGGTGATGAACAGGTGCAGTGGCCGTAGCATGAGTTCGTCGACTAGCACCGCCGCCAAACATGCCGCGGCGACGGGGCTTTGTGGTTGTGGTTGTGGTGGTTGTTGTATGGCGATGAGAATGGGCCGGAGCACGGCGACGGGTGCTGAAGATGGAGCGACGGGGAGCGGTGTGACGGTGAGTTCGTGTGAGAGGCATATTGAATGGTAGATTGAATGCGGGAGTTAATGTTTGTTTGTGTGTGTGTGTGCTAATGATTGTGATTTTGTGGCTTGTTGTATTGATGATTCCAATATCGATACTGAGAAATGGCTGCAACGAGATATTATATACACATTTGGATGGTTGCGCAACACAGCGTGCTTGAGCATGGAACCATGCTTGGCCAAGAATTATTGCATCACCTATTACGACCATTGATGAAATAGATAGGGAAACCTGGTCAGCGGATTTCGTTGTCTGCAGATCCAAAAGAGTTGATACCACTATTAACTACCTCT